ACCTTTTTATTTTTTTTTGATCGGTGCAACTTACACCAAACAAAATCACCTTCCTGCAAAACCGACCTTCCTATCGCTCCTCAGAGCAGCTCGAACCCGGGGGTTATTTAGCAAACTTCCCTCCCGAGGCCTAGAAATCACGCTTGTATCTCCTTCTTGTTTTGCAGTTTTTGGTCTCCGAGGCTAAAAAAAAAAAAACACCCCGATGTCAGCCCCAGCGGTACGCCGGCTTAATCCGAGGCTCCCGGCCCACTCGCCTCCGAGTGTCAGGGACAAACCGCTGCCCTCCACGGAAAAAAAAAACACAACAGTGACAGTGATGCTTTCATACCTGCATGCTGGTCCTCACACTTCAAAGCTAAAGCATCCCCCCCAAAAGAAGCAAAGCAAAGCGTGTTGTGTTTGCATTTATCTGGCTGTATCTGTGACTATCTGGCAGATAGGGGTGTGTGCTGCTGCTGTAATGGGCCCATTGTGCTCTGCCTCGGGTCCCAGCCTTATCTTCATTACACGTTTTAAAAACAAACAAATAAACAGAGACGCATTTCTGGAGAGGATGAAGGAAGTTGGTGTGTTTTTTTATCTTTGAAGATTACTTTCTTGTATATATATATATATATATATATATATGTACGCCTTGAAACAAATGTTGGTGGGAGAAACTGCAGACTCCATTCAACGAGGCCGTTCTGTGAAATTGCCTTCCTGTGCTTTAGCGAGCCCCTCCACAGAAAAACACCACTCTTCTTCTTCTTTTTTTTTTTTTTTTTTTTTTCTCCCCTCACCCTGAAATATAATGTGGGAGAAAAAAAGCACGTAGGCATGCTGTCTTGTCTTCTGAGCCTTAAGGGGTTTTGTTACGGTTTAGTCAGACTCACAGTTTCCACTGGTAGATCGTGACAGGGGGGTTAGCATCAGCCCTGCAGGTCAGCTGAACATTCGGACGGTTCAGGTACCAGTTTCCATCAAACCCCTCGATCTTCACCTCGGGTTCATCTGCAAGGAAGTCACGCCAGAGTCAGTTCATCCCAGAAACACTCCCTGTATCACTGCACCGAGAGTCTGGCAGCAAAAATAACACTAATTCATCTGTTTCTCTTCTTGGATGGAAGCGTTTCAGTCAAGACTTTACACTAAAACTGTTCTATTACAGTGGGATTAATTGTGTACCTCCAAGACGATTGTGTGAAAGACGTAAATCTACTAAACAGTGATGAACTTCTGGACTCTGACAGCACAAAACTGACCAAAAGGACTGTGTGTCAGCATCGATTTCACTCAAAATAAATCTATTTTTGCAGTGGTAGTCATAGTCACAGTATAGTTTTCACTTTAGTTTGCACTTAACTGGATATTTCTGCTTATTTATTTGTGTTTGGTCACTTTCTACCTGCTACTGTAACAACAGAATGTCTCCTTGGGGATCAATAAAGTATTTCTATTCTGGATTTTAAAAAAAATACACTCGCTACCCAGCAGCTCATTTGCATTTTGTTTTTGTATTTGACCTTGTTTACTCTCTAAACTATACTGACTGGTGTCATCTTGTTGTGAAGAACACAACTTTAGGCTGCAAAAGGAGTATAAAAGCAAGAATGATAACATGTTTTTGGGTCCAAATACACACACACAAAAACAGAAAGCATCATCACGAGTGTAAACAGTGGTTTCTTACATTGCACGTTGAGCACCACGCTGTCCGTGATCCTCTCGTTCCGGTACGTCACGATGCACGTGAGCTTCTGTTTGTGGGTCTCGCGGCTCGGCGCCACCAGGTAGTTGCTCCGTACCGTCACCGTCCCGTTTTGGTTGCGGGTCTCCTGGAAGGTGGCTTCGCCTTTCAACCTGGTGTCCCACTTGATCACGCTCGGGGGCTTCCCGTTGGCCGATACGCAAGTGGCGACGGTCATCTTGCGCTTCTGGGCCCTGGCCACGATGGTGGGCGTGGTCAAGGTCATGCGCGTCATGGGCCGAGCTGTGGAGCAGAGAGGATCAGTCGCTTAAGTGGAAAAAGGAAAAAAAAAAGCTCGACGGAGAAAGACTTTGTCCTTCACTTGCCGCCTCGTTTTGGTGTCTTTTGTTGTCGGCTTCACCTACAATCATCAATCTGAGCGAAATCAAACTGAGATGGAAAATAGTGTTACTCAAATCAGGCGAAGTTTTGCCTCTTTTTCCTCCTCAAAGCCGAAGCAGTTGTCAGAGCTCTCAGATGTTGAACCCACTTGCCTACCCAAATGCGCAGTCATCCAATTTGAATCCTTTGTGAGTTGCCAATTAGCAATCTACTCTTAGTACATCAAAAGGCAGGCTTGAGCTTGAGCGAATGCACAACTGAAAGAGATACGCCATGAAGAGGCCCTCTTTGAACGCTGCTGGTTGGGTTATCTGCACACAGGTTCCTCGTGTTCACTGAGCCGCCGGAGCCCAAGAAGTCCTGGGAGGCTCCGTGACACGAAACGGGGACTCGGAGGCGACTAAGAAGCTCTGGCAACGAGCGCTACTTTAGCCAAGTGCTTTTCTTTTACTGGGACTTAATGGAAAACACGCCATCACTTAATTTCTAATTAGTTCTCTAATCAGAGTCAGCGCACAACCTTTTCAAAGCTGCCTCTTTCCAAGATAAACTACATCTCAAGCACCCCCTTTTCTTTCCGCAAGAGGAGACTATTCAAGCCAAATTACACTCTCCGAAGCGGCCCTATTGATTTCCGTCTCACCTGCCATTTTTATTGACTACAATCTCTGGCAGCTTCCTGTTCTATCAGAGACATTCTGGCCAATCCCGGACAGGCGTTAAAGCACGTGTCAATCATCAAGTCAGATTCGTTTTCACAACATTTGCCGCGACGGTCGGCGGCGCTGTTCGCCAGCCGCAGGTGTTTTTTTTTTTTTTAAGGCAGTAAATAACACGGTCTGCAACCAGAGCTTCAACAAACAAGAGAAAAAGCATCTGGTTCGAGGTGTTCTAAAGGAATTCAGCCTGCTTTACAACAAAGCCTGTGGCAATGTAACATAGAAGAGTAGAGCTGTGAAAGTGTTTTCATTTAGCCTTTCACTTAACGGGAAGATGTCGGCTTGACCTTGTGTTATCTGATTCAGAAAAATTTGCTGCTTCTGCCTCGAGTCAAAAGAGAAACCGAATTTGGGCGACAGGTTTTTACATCCGTCTGATTACTCATCCGACCGGCAAAAAAAAACACGCTGGGAGAGATAGCTCCTTAACTGATGCTCTGATGTATATCTTCATTGTGTGTGTTTTTTTTTGTCTGTGTTCTTGGCTCAAAATAAAATTACACATGCTTGAATCACTGCAACAATTACTCAGTCTGTTCTCTTGGATCCAAACACAGACCTTGGTAGTAGTCAGGCTGTGGCGCTGAATGTAAATTCAGTTTCTGATTTGACAAAACAATCCTGTCTTTTTCTGTAGTCGTTCACCAAAAAACTTGGTAATTAAGATTTTGTTTTTCAATTAAAACTGAAGCATGATGATATATTAGGCGCTATTTTGACAATTTAAGCCCCCGTTTAGTACAACAACTACATTTCGGGATTAATAAAGGCGTCAACGAAAGCTCTGGTACAGTTTAGAAAGGATAAAGGTTTCCATTTAACAAGGTAGGAATGTACGTTTAAGCCCAAAACACATCCAGAACTTTTGTGGAATTCTTGTTCTGAGATAAATCTGAGATAAATCTGAGATAAATCCTCGACTCGGCTGCAAGAAGAACAACACAAACAAACCGAAAACAAACAAAAAAGCACAGCGATTAGATAACGATGACTTATCTCCATGGAAGTGTTCCACGTAGGTTCTGAATGTGTTTTGGGCTCGTATATAACTTTCGGCCTTGTCAAAGCTAAATCTTGACCCTTTTGAAACCGCACCAGTGTTTCCCGAGCGTTCATTAATGCCGGTTATATTCCCAAAAAGCACGCATCTCCACTATATCGCCTCTTAAGAACCTATGTGGAATGCTTCCATGTAGATAAATCTGAGCTAAATCCTAGACTAAGCCGGAAGAAGAAAACAAACAAAAACAAACAAACAGCGATTAGATCAATAAGATTTAGATCTTTACTGAGCTGCTTTGTTTTTACGAAAACACCAGACTTTGCCAGCTTTAACTTTTCCAGATTGAAACTGTCTAAAAATGTAAAAACTACACTTTGTTTTCCTTGCGGGGTTCTTACCGAACACGGTGAGGTTGACCATGTTCTCCCGGTTGCCCGCGGGGAACGTGGTGTACTCGCAGATGTAGGCGGCCTCGTCGGACAGCTGCAGGTTGGAGAACACGATGGTGGTGTCCTCCAGCGAGGGCGTGCGGTGACGCACCGCCGCCTGCTTGAAGCTCACCCGCTCCTTGAAGGGCGGCAGGACGGACACGCCCAGCGCCGGGTTGGCGATGGCCACGTTCTGCTTGGTGCCGTTGAGGAGCTTCTGCCAGGTGACTTGAGAGATCTTCACCGGCGGGTTGCTGTTGATGAAAATGCAGCGCAGCTCCACTTGCGTGCCCACGAAGCCGGACTTACTGGAGTCCATCTGTACCATCTGTCCGTCGCCAGCTGCACGTAAAAAAAAAGAAAGAAAGAAAACACTTAATTACGATTAACAAGTGTCCGAGGCCGAGCAAAGCGCCACAGTCAATAGCAAGGACATGCGCTGAAAGCTAAGGAGTCGATTCAGCCTCCTAGGAAGTGCATGCACGCACAACACACACACACACTCCTGTGCTCCCTATACGTTAATGTAAAGTTGCTACATGTGGTCTGCTGTGTGCAAAAAGCCGGGGGAGTTGTTATTAACATAATGGGCACATCCATACAGGCCTGTCTTTGTCGGTGAAGGTGGTGTTTCTGATGAGATGGGAGGGCCGAGCAGGAACCAATGCATCACTAATGAATAAGTGCGAGGCTAGTAAGGGCAGTGAGCTGGAGCCAAGTGATCGTCTGCTTTGCTCTCTATCCCCCCTCCACCTCCTCCACCACCACCACCTCCTGCATCACACTGGGTAGCCCATTGTAATTTTAATTACTTTTATACTCGCAAATACTTCAATGACTGCCTGGAGCTCCTATTAAAAGAAACAATGTGAAGTCCTGTGTAAGCACTCAAAACAACGAGGAACACACACATTAGCTATATTAAAAAGCCAGCAATTATGCACCTCTCTCTTACTATCTGAGCCTGCGAGGAACTTGGTGGCAAAGAGGGGAAAAAAAAAAGGTCAATTAGTGAGGATGGACCTTTAAATTCACTTGTGGTTTAATCTTTCATGCATATATTGACCTCGTGCTGAAATGAAGTGTCAAATCCCCCTTCCCATTGCACATTTGCCTTCTGCTTAACATTAGCAGTTAACATCTTTGAATTAAATTTTTTCCTTACACTTTCCCTGCTTTTATCTGGGATTGAAACAATTAGATAGCCAGCTAATTAGTAAACGAGTAAGAATGCCAAACGCTAACTTTACTGGGGTTTTGGCTAATTGGTCAGACGATGCTAGCCGTCTATAGATGTCACCTCGGTTGTCTGTCTTCGCTTTTAAAGGCTTAATTGAACAAAAAAATCTAGAATTCAACGCTTCCTACTCGTGTCCTCTTTTGGTCCTTCAACAACTTCCATTTGCACCTGGTCTGCGGCAGTCTGAACAGATGTGCTATTGCAGGGCTTCTACATCACGTTGTCCTCAACGCGTCTTTGTTATCTCGGCCCTCTAATTTATGTTCCTTTCCAGGTGAAGGCTGATGATGTCCCATTTCCTGATCTGCCAACCCCTGGCTGAGCTTGTATTTACAACCAGCCGCAGCCATAATTATCTCCCATGGATAGACAAGGACCCACAGGAAGAAAAGACTGAAATTCCTCCGTTAATCACACCGACCTCATAAAGCCACCAGTGGATCCAGTCATAAACAGAGAGAAAATATGTTGTGGAGAGCTCAACTCGACACATGCGCACCGCAAACAGAGGGGCTCTTTAACGCGGGGTATCACGATGATGGGTAATGGCTGCCTTAACAAATAAAGTCGGGCTTTAAAAAGGAATACATGAAGAGATCCGTTTCAGTTCACGCCCACCCAACACAAAATCAACGCAAACTTCCCTTTCAGACGGTTAAGAGTCGTCTTGTAAAAACTGCAGGTTCTCAGCCGAAGGACATGAAGCCGCGATGCATGCACGGTGAGCGGAAACGGAGCAGACTCCCCGGTAGAAGACCATTAAGATTAACAACGTTATTTTTTTGTTCCCCGCCCGTTTTTCGCAGCGGGCGGACAAACTCTCAGGTTGAATGGCTTAAGCTAAGGAGCGGCGCATTACGAGAGAAAGGCAATTTCAATCTATTGTTATATGCTTTCACTCAAATACCGCCTTGGCTGCCTACATCAAATCATATAAGAAGAAAAAAAAACACAACTAAGTGACAACCTTTTGAAGATACTGAGTGCACATCATCTTTCATTTCCTTCTGACCACATCAGCAAGGCTCCCTCTACAGAGATTTCGACCTGGGGGATTTGAAGATGACAGATTGATTTACTAATACAGTTTGACAGAGAGGACTGGCAACCTTGTCATCTGTACCTTCACAACCACCTGTGTCCTCCAGCACCCCTGGGCAATGCTTTGCTCCATTTTATCACAGCTTAGATTACCAGTTGTGGCAGCTATAGTATGATTTTTTTTTTTTTTTTTGAAATAGCAAACACAATTTACTGTGTGACAACACTAGTTAAAGTTTAATCTTAAGTTGAGGAAGCTGCGAGCTCCGGGAGGGCTGTGGAAACTCATAAATATGTACCTGGCCAGACCTCACCCACCTCGACGCTAAAACAATACTGGCAGGGCCCGGCTGCGTGGCCTCCCTCCCTCCTTCCCCTCAGCCTGATGCTCCTAACTCAGATTGAACCACATAAACAGCAGCCTCACGCAAATGGAAACCAGAGGAACAGTCCTAATTACACAGAACCCAAATCCCCTCTGCGAAGGACCAGGGGCGGCCCACCGAGGCCCCCCTCTTCCTCCTTGAGGACCGGTGGAGCTGACACAGTGCATGCAAGAAGGCATTAAGGAGGCAGATCTTAAGCGGGGTGATGAGAGCCAGCGATGCAGAGAAACTGAGCAAAACAAGAAATAGGCAAAGTAGTTGAGGTGCAGAGAGGGGGCAGACAAAGAGGAAGGCGGAGCTGTAAGGGAGATTTGTAAGTGTGCTGCAGGTTTGGGGCTTGGCCGGCATTATCGCTTGTGCTGCTGCTGCTGCTGCTTTGTTCTCACACTGACAAGAGGGTGACTGGGGGGACAGTCATGCTCTAATACACCTGAGGCTAGACACTGCCTTAAGAGTTGCCAGTGGAGAGAGGAGCCCTATTTTTGGAAAGAGGGGAAAAAAAAAAAAAGCAATAGGACAAACAAACAAAAGTATGTCCAAGCTGGCAGAATATATATATATATATATATAAAAAAGAGTGGTTTGATTCACACCAGGTGAGCTGACTTGGATCAAGGGGGACATAAGGGGCACTATTAAAACAGCTGCTGTACCGTCTGGCCTCGCGCTGATAGCACGAGTCTCCCAAGGCCTCGGCAGCGAACAGGACATTCGACTGTAATAAGATCTGGCCTGTCAGGCGGCGAAGGAGAAGCATGTGCTTTGCGTTGTTTGCATATGGCAGATTGGACCTCGTGCGGAAGAAGCCGCGCCGGCTAACAGCCTTCAGTCTAATGAGCGTCCAGGAAAACAGGGAGCTGCAGGCCAATCTTCACGGCAAACAGATCACAAAAGCCCGAGGGGTGAATGTATTTAAATTAGCTGCATTTAGACATTTTATTACCCAGCTGGGAAAACAAAGATTAAAAACACGCCATTGATTTCTTTCTGTAATAAATCAAAATGAAGGATATTAATATTTAATAGCTGCCTTTTGTCTGTGCTGCAGTGGGGAAAGAAAATAAACTTTTTTTTTAAAAAACACGCTGCATTGATCCGTCCCAGATATTCTTCTGTAGCCCGCAATGTTAAACCAGACCTTGCTCTACATATAAAACAATAACAACACTATAAAACTCTGCATTCAGAACCAGGGCACTATCTGCTAAAGCCTAAGAAGATTCTTTTCCATAAAACAACTGCTGTTTGGCAACTCATCTCACAACTGATATGTAACTCTATTGTCTCTCTTTCTCTTTTTTTTTCTTTTCTCAGCTCAACTTGCCAACAAACCAACAATATTTCAAAAGACCATTATTGGCTCTCACAGTGCTACTCGGGCGATGCTCATCCACAGAAATCCATTTGTGCCTGAGTCAAATAAAGTTCAGAATAATTCACCTCGAGCTGCTGCAATCTGAGGAAGGCAAAGATTAAATTGAAGTGAATGCATACTTTAGGAGAAGCGCTCTGTAGTGTCTTCTATTTAAAGCTGCACCCAGGGAACCTGGCACGCCGTCGGTCCCGGATGGCAGCGAGGCGACGCCGTTTGAAGTTTGAAGACTTCAAAAATGTATAATGTGATGTCATTAGACTGCATTCTTCTTGGACGTCTTTTTTTTGGAGGAAGAGATGAGTTTTAATTTTTCACTGGATGGACTAATTACTTCCCCGAAAACAAATACGATTTTCTGCTTCTGTCCCCACGCAGCCATTTGTTCCGGCAAATGGGGTCGAATCTGAGAGACGCAACATCGACAGTGTTTTGGCGTAAACTTCTCGCCAAGTGCGGCTTTTTGGAGCTTATCTCGCGAAGACGTATCATCTCCTCGATATGCTTTGGTTACTCCTCTGTTACTTAAGTGGGATGCTGATAGATAAACGGCGGCTTGAGCCACTCGGGATAATGACTGTTTAATGTAGTCCCAGTTCCCACGGCGATGGCACAGGCCCCCTCTGCTCCCCTATTCATGACCACACATGGGGTGTTTAAAGGGGGGGTAGGGGAGTCCAAATCCACTGTCACACACACACCAAAACCTCCCATTAGTTGCTTGTTTATTCCCCCGGTGGAAGGTTTTGATTCTTTTTTTTCGCTGTCGGTGAGTAATTTAGAGCTCATCTGCTGGCATTTTGCATATGTTATATAACAAATAGAAGTGATTTTCCCAAAATGCTTTATAAAAATAAATGACTCTCAGGGATAACTGGCAGCTATCTCACTGTGCTCGAGGCTTAAACACACCCAGATAGGGCCCTTCATTAAGCATCAACGTCGACTTTGCGGCCATTCAGCTTCTTTTTTTTTTTTCGAGAAGGAGCAGTATGTGTCAGAGAATTTGTTTTAATCTACACTCAGACACTATTTGATGGTGCTTCAGCCAGGTCTCTTGGGTAAACAGTGGTGTACCTGCCAAAGCAGCTCTCTTTACCCTCTGTCTCCCCCAAGCAAACATTCAACTGCAGAGGCGAGCGAAACCTCGCTGGAACAGATGGTTAGTAGACCTGTTCCTAATTTTCCACTATCTGGTTCAAATTTGAAATGCTTTTCTGTACAACACAGCCGCTCATTGAGGACAATGTAACATCTGCTGCGCTGTAAATGTTAATGATTATCGGGAATATTTATTATGTTA